GAGTCCACCCGCCTGATTAAAAAAAAGGAATATGGGTTGGCCTTCGGTCGAAAATGCAGTTTAGTGGTAAGACTCAAGTGCAGATGGAAATCCAGGATATGTTTGGCCTGTGAACTCGTAGATGAGCAACATTCCCTTTAAGACAAGCTATCGGAAGCACAATCCCTACCACACATTTAGGGAGCATAGTAAAGGACAAGAGTGGCAAGGTATTTAAATAACCTGGTTGTGATACCACTCTCAAATGGGTCGATCTAGTGGCCCCCCAGCCGGCCCACCTGGTAAAGTTAGTCTACTTGGGGCCAGGTCAACCTTTATCAAGGCCGAACATCTCCTATTAAATTCAAGTCAACGGAAGAATGCAACCTGACAGCCGACGGGTACACGAGATGGGTCAAGGTCCGTATGCGGAATCGTGATTACCCCCCCCCCCCTCTTGGGATTTGGCGCTTCGAAGCAGTAGGTGCTTTAAGGGTTCAACACGCAATTTTTAGAGACCACGCCACTAGATTGGGATACTGCATTCTGCAGGTGGGTACATCAGATCCGTGATGACAGCGAAGAAAACGCTGAAGACAAAATTCTGAATGAGTAAGAGATTGACGCTTCAAAAAAGATTGAGAAATGTGACCTTCTGGTCATATGTGGCGGCACGAAGGCGTTGCTAATGACGAATTTTCAAAGGAGATGTTGAAGACCATGGTATTAAGTTAAAGTAAGGGTTCCTCATTTTGGTATAATACAATTTGGCATTGTACGGCAGTGTACTTCGACGTCGCTCACATTTGAAGTATACACAACTCTGGGCACGTCTCTTCCTTTTGGAATCAGGCCCAGGTTAAAAATCTCCTAAGCATATACAACAAAAATTTTCTTTTATTACAACGATAGTGGCTGCGCTATGCTGGTTGAGGATGACACACGTACACAAATTGGGAGTATGTCCTATGTAGTAGTCTAACATTATTTTGCTTTCGAAATTAAAGTACGCTCGTAGCTCAATTGGGTTGTTATGGTCACCTTGCTCAAGAACCAGAAAGTGTAAAAGTGTTAACGTGAAATCTTTGTATCCTGGTGTGTAGGATTCTCCAGCGCTGTTTTGACAGCCAGTGGCGTCCTTTAAATCTCGTGATGTAGCCATTCAGAGATAAGGAGTAAGAAAACACATCAGATAGGAAGAAACTTGATTATGACGAGAATTTGAAACGATTCAGTCTGAAGGTCAGTTACTTAATTAAACGTATGGTCATAGTTTGCAAGCTTAGCTACCTTATACAGATTACATTGAGGTTTTACTGCTTCAGCCGCAAAAATGATCTTCGACTTTTACACTATCATTTAACGGGTTTGGGTCGATTCTTCAACCCTGTATTCAAGTTGGAACCTTTTTACGGGACCAAATAAACGGTATTGGTGTACAAGATGAGGAATTACCTCATGTCGAACGGTCTATGTGATGTTGTGAAGGCTTATAGGTTTTTTAAGCGCCCAAAAAATTAAGTTTAACACGGTGATCACGCTTATGCTAAGTTATCACTTTTTAAAGATAGGCTTTTTAGCATGCTGTCATAATCGCTACATGATCTTCACGATATCATTGCAAAAGTCAGTGCTGCAGAATTGTCCACGAATCATCTTCTGTGCAATTTAACGCTAATTTATATCCTCATTCCATTGCAAATAGCTATTATGAGACACGCATTCCTTCCATGATAGTTCTCTAACAGAAATAACAGGTCATCGAGCATAAAAATGATGGCTTGAACTACCACTAACTTCCCCTTGACACTTTTCTCTGCCTTCGTGTTGATAAACCCTTCACTCATCGACTTCGATTCCTGATAGTTGCTCCTGTCCATGTCCATAAGCAGATGTCAAGGCGTTCGCTTATCTTCTGGGCAGAGTTGTATCTGAACAGCTTCAGGTGCATCAGATCGTGGATGCACGGATAAAAATTTCGCCATCAGGCTGATGTTGAGCTGTCCATCAGCGCCAATGCGCAATCTGCGTATGGTAGCAGAGACAAGCAGAAAAACTTTATGTCTTCTAAAATATAAGCATAGCATTGCTCAGAACCTAATCCAGCAGGGTTTAATTAACTTCATTGCCGTGAGCTGGTCCAGTATCAGATGTTGGATAGAGGTTCTTGCTCCTCCATGCATGAATCGTGCTTAAGCTAGAGGTGACGATACCGACGATAGAACGAGACGATGATACTGCGGTTCATGGTCCGCTTCTACGTGGTCGTGTTTCGGGGGGTAAACATGACTGTTGACAATTTTATAAAATAATTGCTTAAGCAGTGTGCAACTTTGCATTGTCGAATAGGAAGAAGGATGTTGCGTTTTCGAGCGCGCTGGTTAATATGAGGCTCACCCATCCACTATCGGAATAAGAAACCTGTCATCTACGCCTTGAATTTGTTGCGGTAGTAGAAACCAAGCTGGCCCCTCGCATTTTTTTGGAATGAGCCTGAAATTTTCGAGTGACCAATGCTAGATGCTTGCATATATCCTAGCCGTCAGTATTGCACATCACTATAGCTGTCTCACGAATGTATTCTCTTTGATTTTTCAAATTGTCTCTAGTTGATGGTCTTGTTGATTGAGTACAAGAAGTGGTCCCGGTCCTACATGTTAGAGACGTCAGGAAGCATGACCCCTTTCAGGAACTCCCCGGTGGCGCCACGCTGCACAGCTTATTCGAAGGTTTCATGCAGCCACTCTCACCATGGGCTATCACTTTCTTAAAATCGTGACGTCCCTGGAATTACTAGATCGCTCTAAACACGGTAGCTGGGGACCTTGGATGCCGCTCAACTTTAAAAATCGCTTATGCGTTACCTTATTCAAATCATCCATGAAATCGAGCGCTTGTATTGTCTCTGCATCGACCAGTTAGCAAGGTCTTCGTCGCCTTAATGGAACGTGAGCACTAGTTTCCGCACGCTCTTCAGGTCTACGTCTCTCACGTGCAAGATATTCTGGTGGTCACGTATTATGCTGGAATTGTCTCCTGTGCTGCCTTTTTATCGAAATTTACTCACGCTTCACTTTGTCTGACAGCTGTGACTGTGTGAGAGAACGTTTGCGTCCTGCCACGGGCAAATCTTTTTTGTCTTCTCATGCATCATGCTTCCAACCTATTTTGGACGCGAAGGCAAAGTTGTTGCGCGGAGAAGGCGAGTGAAGAAATGCTATAAGTGGAATTGTGCTGTAACGAGCTGCTGAATACGAATCCTGGCTCTTTTGTCAAATTTGAAGACTGCAAATAACTGGATGGATTTTGAACCTTTAGAAATTATATTTCTGATGTACACGATACGATTCGTTCGACGAATTCTATTTAATTTGGTGGGTGGTACTGTACCACAAGATGAGAAGCTAAGAAATTTACCATATGATACATAAAAATTACTGCAAGATTGAAATTTAAACAAAATACAGCAAAATGAGAAATGTTTATGCCAAGTCGTAAAATGTGCGTACGGTATGACATGAGTATGTATTGGCTGAGTCAAGCCGAACATAAATAGCGTGTATTACTAAATAAAAAGCTAGTGTACAAAAAAAAACCAGTTGTTATTTTGCTTAAACAAAACGCGTCTCAGTAGCTTTCGCGTGAAAGCCAAACAGCGCGGCACAATCATCGTCTAAAAGCCTCGGATATAGATAGTGGCCCAGGGTAAAATTCGTTGTAACTAAAATAGAGTTGGCTTGGTAAATCATCGTACGATTTATTCGCTACTGATTGACAGCAATTCTAACTATACCGGTGGACATCATCGTCTGCCTATCGTGACGATCGCTCTTTCCTATATTTCATGTTCATCGTATACTGCATTGAATAAATTTTACATGAGTGATACAAACAGTTACAACACCTAGGATTGAATGCCAAGCCACATCACTATCGTAACGGGTTTACGCGCGGTAATTGAACCGGGTATGTTGTGTGTCCATACCAAGAAAAGATCGTTGGATCTGAGTGGTACAGTATTAGTACCACGTACTTACGGTAATGCCGCACCTGATCGGACAGAGATAAGGGTCAATACTTCTGTCGTAGGATCGCAATGTAGAAGTCAGTCAGACAAGGTTTTAGAGTTCTATTACCGTATTTATAGAATCAGGAAAGTTCAGTTCCCCTTTTATATGGTTGAACACAAGTGCCTAGTAAAGGCGTAGTGTGTGGTTAGAAGCATTAGCCTTGTCAAGGCGTTTACTCTTGTTTAATTGGTTTGACTAGTTGGCGTGTGATTCTGTGAATCGTAATCACTTTGGAACCGGGATTGTCAAGCTTGTACGCTTGAACGACCGTACATCGTTGCTAATTTGTTAGATCTGAGAGAATCTTTGAGTCCAATACTTTTTCTGTTAAGGAGCGCTAAGTAGCCCCGCTACACTTCGTAGCACTTGTAGTCAATCTACACCTAATCCTTCACAGGCTGAATACTCTGCGATGACGGAGACGGCCATGAACCTCTATGAGGGTTAGCAGATCACGCTTGAGATGTAACGGGGTGAATCGTTACATAACAATTTATAAGAAATTGTTAATAGAATATAACTATAAGAGTTATATTCTCAGAATATTGTCATAAGGACAAATATTCTGTAGCACTTACGAGTAGTTCCTAATTGGTTGATATAGGCCATTATATCAACCAACGAAGACGCGCCACGACAGACGCACGCAATGAGTGGTGAGTAGATAGTTTATATACACATTTGTATTTAGACATAGTTAGATGAAGATAAATAGTGATTTATTGCAGACATTGACTATTATAAATACAGTTCTACTTTTTACTTTAACCAAGTACTCGCTTCTTCTTACCGTCTTCCTCTGCACGTACGAGTGTACGTGAAGTTACGAGGCACCGCCTTATTCTGTCATCAGAATAAGTAGCTTGTACTGTCACCAGTACAAGCTTCAGGGTGCCCCGTTACACCTGGTAGCACTTTGTAGTCCGTCCAAGGACCGCGTTCACATCCAACATGAATATGTTGGATGATGAAGATGACCAAAGCTTTCACGCTACGCGTGACGGCTACTCCCATTTGAGCGATGTCGAATGGGATGCGGTTGAACGAATGGGTTCGACCATGGGCATCCATGCTGTTAGCGTCATGCTAGAGGCTCTCAATAGAGATGCCCAACATGCTACTATCGCCAAGTTCATTCAAAATGAACTTGACGCAGAAAGCGAGAAAGTAGCCTTGCTTCACCAACAAGGTTCTCAACAAGCAGAGTTGTTGAGAGAACAGGGTGCTCAACAGTTTGAACTGTTGAGACAGCAGAAGGCTGCTGCTGGTGGGTCGATGCACTCGCGTCGACCCGAGACTTTGAAGATTGACATCTCCAAGTATAGGGGAGTCGAAGAAGACTCCCTCTTGAGTGAGTGGTTCGTCGAATTGGATGACGCCATAAGGGCGCGTCGCATCGACGACGGGGATATGCAAGTTGCATTTGCCCAGTCAAATCTGGCAGGACGTGCCAAGACTTGGGCACTGGGGCTCAAGTTGCACGACCCATATGCGTTTGGGTCGTTGGAAGTCTTCAAGTCGCGGCTCAGACAAACGTTTGAACCGCCTAGAGCTGAGTTCAGGGCTCGAACCGAACTCTTGAAGCTCAAGCAGGGTAAGCGTGATGTGCACGCTTACGCTCAACATATACGACATCTCACGAGTTGTATAAGTTCCAATCCGGTGGATGAACACACGTTGGTTTTGGTGTTCATGCAGGGTCTTGCGGATGGTCCCGTCAAGACTCACCTGTTCAGGCTTGAACTAGATTCACTAGAACAAGCCATTTCCATTGCGGAGCAGGAAGACTTCAGTCTGAGACAGGCTCGCGCCAGCTCGACATCATATCGTCAACCGAGACGATATGACAACGGAGGTCCCAGAGCCGATGGAACTCTGTTATGTAGAGAGCGAGAAGGCTCGCTCTACAGGCTACAAGAAGTTGCAGAAATGCAACAGATGTCAAAAGACAGGACACTACGCTTACGAGTGTAGTGCCCCTCGTCCAGTGTCTCGCGACACTGGGCGTAGTGACCGTCCACCCATGAGAAAGGGGCAGGGACGAGGGTCCGCTGTTGGTGCAAAGACGCAACAACGGGATGGACCGTCAAAAAACGGACAGGATCAGTAGGTGAGGAGCACCCTACTGATCCAGCAACGTCAAGAGAATTTGTAGGCCTCTTGATGAAGGTTGCTCCCAACACACAAACGTTGTGCGTTGCTGCTCTAGGCAATGAGGTCTCACTCATTACCTTGAAACTCGAAGTGACAAATAAGTTGTCCCTTCGAGCTCTAGTCGATTGTGGGGCGTCCAACAATTTTGTGCGACGCCAATCGCTAGAAGATGGTCACTTTAAATTCAGTGAATGTGACACACCTCCTACGAGGATGACGGTACGCCTTGCGACAGGCGCATCCGTAGCCGTCATGAAGCGTATAGTGAAGATCCACTATACGCTAGAAGATACCCAATATGACGATGACTTTATCGTATTGGATTTGGATGACAAATTTGATGTCATCCTTGGAATACCGTGGCTCAGAAGGTACGAACCACGAGTAAACTGGCAACATCGGACAGTAACGATGCCTGCCGCTTGTTCATCAGATGGCCATCTGACGAACGTTTTGGAGCGTCCACAAGCGTGTGGATGTACTACGAGTGAGTGCGATGGCCTCACTTGTGGTACGGTCGTTAGTACGACTGCACAAAACCTTAGTGTAACAAACGGTTACACTTCGGAGCAAAGTTCCGGCGGCTGTGAGGAAACACAGGCTGCGCCGAAGGTCCACCACTCGAATAAGTCGGGTGGACTGGGACAAAGATGTATCCCTAGCGGGGAACATCTAGAAGAGAAACAATCGATCGCTCAGGTTAAGCGAAACGATAATCCTAGATCGACTGGAGAGTCTTTCGTAGAGGATCTCGCTGTGGTTGCGCAACCCCAGCTAGAGGAAGTAAAGGGAAAAAGTCCCAAGATTACAAATGCGGCGGAAATAAGTTCCCCGAAACCCGAGGGAATAAGTCCCCGGGAAGCCGAAGGAATAAGTCCTTCGAGGCCTGAGGGAATAAGTCCCCAGGAAATGACAGAGACATTGAATGTCATAGTCAATAACGGATCAAGTGTAGGCGCTTATACACTTGATCTGATTGCGCCTCCGAAGTTAACTTCGGAGATCACTCAGTTGCCAACGCTCGAACATAAAAGGTTCTTGCGTGATCTGCGTAGTGGCAAAGTCAAGCAGATCTGCATACTCGTCGCTGACGACGAGTGTGTAACCGACATAAGGTCAGCAACAGTGTTCACTGAGAACGAGAGAGTTCTCAGTAGTTCATCTATGGACGAGAGTGTCCTAGATGAAAAGACACGAATTGAGCGATATGACTCCCAATCATGGGAATCGCTCAAGACAAATCCTCTCTATGAAGATTTGGTTGAATTCAAGGATGTATTCCCTGAAACTGTTCCGTGCGAATTACCGAAGGATAAAGGTATTCGACACGAGGTCGAGCTTAAACCAGGCTCGAAGTACTGTGTCATGAAGCATTGGCCACTGCCTCGTGAACAAGTACTTGCGATCGACAAGTTCTTTGCCGATCGTTTAGCTGCGGGCCATGTGAGGGAATCAACTTCCCCACATAGCTCTCCGACCTTCTGTGTGCGAAAAGCAACAGGAGGGTGGCGGATAGTGCACGCGTTCAACAAATTGAACGCTGCAACGGTACCGGCTCAGACGCCGATACCGAGGAAGGACGTAATCATTGATGGTATGTCAAAGAGTACCATCTTTTCGTCCATGGATTTGATGGATGGCTTCTATCAAATCCTTATGCGGGAACGGGATATACCCTATACCGCAGTTAGCACGCCTAGCGGCATGCTCTGGGAATGGCTAGTAATGCCACAAGGGCTTAGTAATGCCCCTGCCACGTTCAACAGATGTGTATCACATCTGTTGAGACCAGTACGAGAATTCGCGCCGAGTTATTTCGATGACGTATTCATCCATAGTCGAGCTATGGATGGAAAGTCGGACGTTGAGGTTCACAGGTACCACGTCCGATAAGTTCTTACAATCATGCGAAAGCATCAATTGTATGCTAACCTCAAGAAGTGTATATTTGCAGCAAGCGAAATACCACTTCTTGGGTGCATCGTTGGTAAGAACGGTGTACGTCCTGATCCCGAAAAGATCAAGGCGATCACCGACTGGCCTGTGCCGGTTGATGTCAAAGGTCTTCGAAAATTCCTTGGGCTAGCGGCGTATTTGCATAAGTATTCACGCAATTACGCCGAGATGACTGTGCACCTCTCTCGTTTGTTGAAAAAGAACGAGAGGTGGTTATGGAACGCTGAATGTCAACGCTCCTTTGACGGTATCAAGAAGAGCTTGATACAATCCCCAGTCCTAGCAATAGCCGATCAGGACAGGCCATTTCATGTGGTCTGTGATGCCAGCGATTTCGCAATCGGCTGTGCATTAATGCAGTACGATCTTGAAGGCGTTGAACGCGTCGTCTGCTATCAGTCGCGTCAGCTGCAACCAGCTGAGCGGAACTATCCAGTGCATGACAAGGAACTCCTTGCCATGAAGTATGCACTCGCGAAGTTCAGAGTCTATCTATTAGGAGATAGACCCTTCGTTGTTTACACTGACCATGCGTCATTACGCACGGCAGTGAACAGCCCGCACCTTTCACAACGAATGGCGCGGTGGTTGTCACTCTTTGCGGAATACAACTTTACGGTCGAGTACAAACCAGGACGAATTAATGTCGTCGCTGATGCACTCTCACGTCGTCCCGACTTTGAAACAGTGAGACAGTCACTGTTGCGGTTATGACGTCCTCAGTCCCATCTACAACGTTGTAAGATGATGTGAGGCGGGCATACGCCCAAGATGGTGAGATAGTGAAGTTGTTGACACATCTCTCCCAACCATCCCGAGAATCGTTGAAACGATTGTCGCCTGCGTATCGATCTGCATCAGATCGATACACTACTCGTAACGGTTTACTGTATTATACAGCCGTTTCTGGTGACACACCACGTGTTGTCATTCCAGATGATACTGATCTGCGTTTGCGGATCATGTTCGAGTATCACGATGCTCCTATGGGAGGACATCGTGGCCGAGAGAAAACATATCTCACGGTAAGTCGAGACTTTTACTGGCCCCGCCAGTATCAGTTTGTGCGAAAGTATGTTCGCGCATGCGAAGTCTGTCAACGAGTGAAGTCAAGTCCTTCACTGCGTGCACCTTTACAGCCTCTACCGGTTCCGGCTGAATGCTGGGAATCCATCTCAATGGATTTTGTCTTCGGGTTACCCAAAGACGCACGCGGGAATACGGGTATTCTCGTATTTGTTGACAGATTCAGCAAAATGGTACACCTTGTGGCTGTACCAGAGACAATCACGGCAAGTGGCTGTGCTTGTGTCTTTATTGACACCATCTTCCGACTTCATGGGTTGCCCCGTGAACTCGTATCAGACAGAGATCCACGATTCACTGCTGATTTCTGGCGTTCCGTGTTCAAATCACTCGGAACGCGCTTGAAGATGTCGACATCTGATCATCCAGAGTCAGATGGTCAGACGGAACGTGCCAATCGTGTCCTTGAAGAGATACTTCGAGGATACGTACACTCCTTTAAGAGTTGGAGTGAGTTCTTGCCAATGGTAGAGTTTGCCATTAACAACTCGGTGCATGCGTCCACGACACATACACCATTTTACGTGAATGGCTTGCGCCATCCGCGTGTACCCACCTTACTAGAGTGTAACTCTGGTTTAAGGGGGGGAGGGACTCGCGCGAGCAAAAACCGATTTGGTTCACGCTCATCACGCTCTGACGAAGAAGTCATTGCGTTTGATGCCGATATCGATAACATCGATATCGAAGAAGATGATGCCAGTGAGAGTGCGGAAGCCCTCACTGAAGACAATGATCCCAGTGAGAGTGCGGAAGCCCTCACTGAAGAAAAGGTTGATGTTGCTGCAGTGCGCTCACAGCACACTGAAGCTAACGAGTCATCAGATGAGTTCATACTGGCTCGTGAAACGGTAGTCCGTTTTGTGCAAGACTCCATCGCCGAAGCGGTGGATAAGCAAAAGCAAAACGCTGACAAGAATGGAAGGGCAAACACTCGTTTATTTAATAAAGGTGACTTAGTCCTACTGTCTACGGTTAATCTACCAAAGCATGTAGTGACTAACTTGGGTAGCAGTAAACTACTACCCAAGTACATCGGCCCATTTCGTGTATTGCACCGCCTAGGCAATGCATACACGATCGAGTTACCACGTAAGATGCGAACGCATCCCACGTTTTATGTTGGTCGGCTTAAGCCGTACCATCAGTACGCTGCTTCTTCCGATGAAGAACGCCCTTGCGCTCAAGCATCTCGCAGAGAGCCTTGTGCTCCCGATGGTGGGCATCAACAAGGGTCTGAAGAGCAGTCTATCTCAGCCCGAGACCGATCAACAATCCCACGAGCTACCCTTAGCTCGTCACGAAGAGATGTCAGAGATCTCTCGTTCTCAAGCTGAGCAAAGGCAAACTCAGCTCGATGCTTCGAGGCAGTGTCCACCATCCGGAGACGCCTATTCCGCTCATGTTCGAGATCGTCGCGTAACCCTTGCGTTACGCGATCAAAGAAGCTCTCAGGAACACACCGATCCACATGATCGTGTGGAGAGCGTCTTTCCTCCTCCTCCACCTCCATTAGAGGACTCTCGCGGTGGCCAGCGCTATCTAGTAGAGCAGCTGTTGAACCACCGCGACGTGAACGGACGTCGGACGAGTTATCTCGTCCGGTGGCGCGGCTATCCCCCGTCCTGGGATTCTTGGGAGCCCCGCTCCCAATTGATGGTTGACGTACTGGGTCTGGTTGAGCAGTACGACGCGGCACATCCTGTGCCGCAGAAGGACCGCCGGAGAAAGTCTTCCCGGCACGGTCGTAAAGGGATTTCAGGTTGTCAATCCCTTCGTACATCTCAGTAGAGATACGTACGCGCCACCACGGGCTATTAGGGAGGTAAGCCTCCTTAGGTGCTCGTGCAGAGTTGTTCACACAACACGGGCACGAGTCTCCCCAAGAGAGGCAGAGTGATCCTTTCTCCCTTGACAGACGATGCAGCTTGTAGCGTGCACCTGTCGGGGTTCGCTTTTCAAACTTATCACGAGCTTTGATAAGTTTGTCGTTCCAAGCGTCACGACCTACATCCTCAAGGTTATGGATGTAGGCGTTCCACGCTTGAAGTAGTGAGGGACCATCACGCTTGTGATTCCCACTGTACCATCGATGTCTGAAGAAAGCATCGATGAAGAATTCATGTTCAGCGCGATAGTTTTTCGCGCTGGGGTCAAGGTGATGGATCCTTGACGAATCGAACAATCGTGCTCGATAACGATCACTCGTCGTCGCCGACAAGTGATCCATGACTGATTTTGGAGGCATCCATGCTTTCTTCTCAGGAGCGAGACGCAACACATTGCGGTCCCGCACTTCCTGCGACGTGCCGACAGAAGTACTGTCACCTCGTTGCGAAGTGGTGTCAATAGGAGAACCGACACCACTATTAGCGCCCGAGTCTCGCGACCTCGAGCGCCTTCGCTTCGGCGATGGTTCATCTGATTCATCAGATGAACCAAAGATGCTGCGACGCAAAGCATCGTCCATGCCACGCTTGGCAGGCGGCTTAGATTCAATCGCCGTCGATACGGATCCGTCATCCGTATCAGGAGAGTACGAGACACCGAGCTCGTACTCTGTGAAGACACGAGTGTCTTCATGACCAGCGCCTGCATCACCAAGTGACACAGGCTGGGTCGCTTCAGCAACCGATGAGACATCAGTTGCTGTTGTTTCTGCTTCGGCGTCCGCACAGAGACGTGCGGACGCGCTCTCGGCGGCCTTGTTCGCGCATCGCATGGGCTTGTTAACCATGCGATGAGATGTTGGAAAGTGGACGCGGACCAACAAGTGCAAACCCTGTCCCAAATGATTTGGGACGAGTATCCATTTAGTCAATCAGTCACTAAAGTGACTGATGGTTAAGGGGGGGTGATGTAACGGGGTGAATCGTTACATAACAATTTATAAGAAATTGTTAATAGAATATAACTATAAGAGTTATATTCTCAGAATATTGTCATAAGGACAAATATTCTGTAGCACTTACGAGTAGTTCCTAATCGGTTGATATAGGCCATTATATCAACCAACGAAGACGCGCCACGACAGACGTATGCAATGAGTGGTTAGCAGATAGTTGATTTGCACGTTTGTATTTAGACATAGTTAGATGAAGATAAATAGTGATTTATTGCAGACATTAACTATTATAAATACAGCTCTACTTTTTACTTTAACCAAGTACTCGCTTCTTCTTACCGTCTTCCTCTGCACGTACGAGTGTACGTGAAGTTACGAGGCACCGCCTTATTCTGTCATCAGAATAAGTAGCTTGTACTGTCACCAGTACAAGCTTCAGGGTGCCCCGTTACACTTCTACATCGCGACCCAAGACAGAAGTCTTATCCCTTATCCCTACCCGTTGAGGTGCGACATTACCTTAAGTACGTGGCACTAATACTGTACCACTCAGATCCACCGATCTTTACTTGGTGTGGACACACAACGTAACCGCCGTGTAACCCTGTTACACGTACCTCTGCTGCCCACCTTTCTGGGCGAGTAAGTGTGCCCTTTTTAAGAGCCACGCGTCATCGTTTAGGTGCACCACGTTGATTGTTACGCACCTGGTCGAGATACCGGTGTAATTGTCAGAAATAAAATCTCAAAAGTTTTTTAGTTTTTTAGTTTAGTTACTCGTGCAGTATGAAAAGCCTTACAGCATGACGACTATCTTTGACGGCTATAATTTTCCGTTCATGTCGAACTGCCCATGGCGCTTCTGACGATAGAACAGCTTCTACCATCACTTATAGGCGGTAATCCGATGAATGGTAGACTTATGCAACATCAGCAGATGACACAGTTGCTGTCTTTCATCATGACAGGGGTGATGTCGAGCATATCGACGATACAAATGCATCTTCTGTCTCCGTCTCTCTAATAATGCGTGCGTTAAAACGGTAGGCGAAATCTTGAATCACTCGGGTAGAGCCTATATGTGTTAGCCAGACTATCACCATCAACAATTTGCATACAATTATAGGCAAAGGCAATCTCGCCCTTCAATTAGTCACTCACAATGTATAAGAAGCAGAGTTTTAATTGTGCGCCTACCCCACGCCCATGGTTCTTTTTGGTCATGGGTGCTACAGTCAATTCGTGGGTGGACGTGGGTGGGCACGACGTCGCAAGCTTTTATTACTAGGCACAGAAATCTGATATAAATTATTTAAATAGGCGTATTTGTACTAAATAATTTGATGACAAAAGAATTTGGGTGGGTGTGGGTGGGTGTGGGTGGGTACACTAATTCTGAAATAATGAAGTGGTGGCAGTGGGTGGGTCCACCCACGCCCAGGTTTATAGCCTATGGGTGGGTGCAAAAAGCTTTGATTGGAACTGTGTTTAGAAGTGCTGAATTCGAGCCGAGTCGAGTCGAGTTGACATAAACGAACGGAATGTGGCCATTTGCTAGGCGTAATCAAGGCTGCCTCGCATACCTGCCTTGACGTCAAACGAAACGGTCGACCTACGTTACCGATCCTGGGAAGATATACAACACCTTGTTATACCGTCCTCACTACACCGACTGGACGGCACGGTTAGCAAATTCACCTTCATCGCCGTCCTCGGTATTGCTCGAATCCGAGTCAGATTCCGAATCATCATCCTGCACTCCCACGGCCACAACATTCGCTTCAACATCATCGTCGTCTTCTGCCGACTCGTCCGAGTAATCGTTCGTTTTTGCTTGGGATTGATCCATCACCAGACCAGCGACACCAACAATAGCCGCTAGGCCCCCAATGATTCCGCAAATGACCACAATCGGGCCGTACGCATCATGAAACGAGCTCTTGTCAGCACTCGCCGCACTGCTGAGCTTCGTCGCGAGCTCCTTGACCTCGGTTGCAGTGCCAATGACCTTTTGCTCATTTGCCCCAACCACCTTCTTGGGATCAACTTTCGAGGAGGTCGCCTTATGGTCGATCGCTTCGCCGTCCTTTTTGCCAGAGATCTTGACGATCCCGTGCTCGTATTTGACTTCAGTCTCGTTCTCCTGAATTTGCTTCACGGCGCTATTCCTCTTCTGACTCTTTCCATTCTTCTTTACACCTTTAGTAGCATCCGAATCGATACGGACAGTTCCACGCTCATAGATACGCGCCGTCTTGCGATTGTCTTTCAACTCCTTTGTCTCCTCCTCATGCTCCTCGTCGTGTCGCTCGTTATGATGGACGTCTACGTGCACCTTCACGACCTCCTCCGTTAGCTGCCGCAGAGATAGCGGTGATCGCTCAGCACCAACACCAGTCACGAGGGCTTCCGATAGAGCACACACTGCCGTCATGCATGCTACTAGCAAGACTCGAGACACGAACATGGTCTTGTTCGATTCTCCCTTGGCCAAGATTGGATTGTGCAGCAGTCTTTTAATTGAGTGCGTAAAAAATGGTGAACTCAATTAACAGATTGACGTTCGTCTTGGAGTATGCTTAAGCAGCTTTTTAGACTGTAATTACTGAAAATGTATTCTTACAATATGTATAAAATGAATCAACGGAAATGATAGATGATCTGCGACTAGGGGGGTGACAGACTATTTGACCGATGTCAATAGACGCTGTCAGTAATCGTGATTAATTGTTGCCGAAACCTATCCAATGTGACCAAAAGTGACACCTTGTATTATGGCAGCGTTAAAAGTGATGTGTGCTTTGGGACCCACATACGATGAGTGGTCTTTTTCTTGGCCGTAGAAGACTCCAACTAAAAGTAATGTAGCGGGATGAGCCAGTAGCATGATATTTATATTCAGTAACATGGAAAAATATAAAAATGTAAATAGTATAGCTTGACCTACTCCGTTTTTGATTACATTCGCTCCCTTTCTCCGTTCTAATGAGCACTCAAACAAAATAGTAAAAAATGTCGTTGTCAATGTATCCAGCTAATGCATGTGCTTTACGTTCCACATTAAGCTTTTGTGCTTAGGATGCATTTTATCAACAGCGCTCACGTTAATTTTTTTTGATTAAGTATGGAATTATAAAAATGCCACAATTAATCACGATTATAAAAATTCCCTAGATAATAAGAATTTAAGCAAGTCTTCTAGATACTTAGAAAAAGAAGAAACGCCAAAGATAATTGGAAAAATAATGCTTTAGGTGATGAAAACATATAAAAATGTCTCACATCTTGTATACTTAAGCTAACAGGATACACATCGAAATTCAAATCTTCAGTCGTTTTCGATTCCCATTGTACTGATGTGCTCGACCCCCGCCCTGTAGGGTGAGCCGCAGGGGGAATTCTGCCGTGTTTCACTTGTGGAATAGAAATTCGTTTCCTGCTCGTACGCTTTCGTAACTTTAGCACATGTAACCTTCACATCAACAACTATGAATCTAGTCTATCTGTTTGAATCTCATTTTACTATTTGAAGGCTTTACTAGTGCCGGCGACGACGCTTCAGTGCTGTTACAGGGATGAGTCGGTGCTTTAAAATACAAGGCCGGAGAATGTAGCTAATATTGAGTGAGTGTGCACAAGACTGAATGCCGAACTCATAAATCGTTCTTATCCGTGTGTAACTGTGTGTTCTGTGTGTCTGTAAGTACTGCGATAAGTTGTACAATACACGTACCAAGTGCGATCCACCTGTCCCCGCGACATAGGTATGTAGGCATTTACGAAGTCACTCTTTGGCTAGGTCACTATTGTGGTGTACGTACGAGAATGGCTTCCGATCGATCAACGATAATTTGATCACGTAAGCAAGTGCCAGACGCTCGTGAGCAAAAGGCCGATCGCGTTGCCCAAGGACACTGGTGTAATACAGACATTTACAGCATCATACTCCTTCTTCAATGACTGCTGCTGTTGTATAGTATTCTGCAACTTGATTTACTGATCTGAACTGAGTGAATTATATCTGAAGGCATACTCCAGATCTTGCTCCCCTATCTCCATTTTAAACTCCGTCGGCAGCACGCTGGACGTGAAGAGTTCAAGAGGTAAATAAAGTCAGACGTATCAGCACATTGCGTGCAAATGGTAACTATGATAGGTTAAGTCCTTCATGAAAGCACCGTGACGGTTTATCTATACCACATTACCTTGTTTGTACTAGGACGTGGTGTAACGGGGCACCCTTTGTTTGGTGTGCCACGAAACTTCACGTACACTAGTACGTGCAGATGAAGCTAATCTACTCAACAGCGTTGTTGAGTGAAGGGTAAAAAAGAGAACTGTATCTAATATAGTTAAGCTATCAATATAACTTTAATCTTAATCTGACAAATTTAACCACGTCGTCATATGACGACATCCTGCTCACCACTCATTGCGCGCGTCTAGCAGCGATTGGTGTTAATTTATGGTTAATACGTCTTTTATCAAATAGTCTTTGAGAAGCGAATGAATATTATCCAAAAAGGAGATTATACTCCTTCAATATTATTTATCTCGGATAGCATTAGTAGGATATTGTCATGCTAGACAATATCTCTATTGACACCGTTTAGTGTCAATATCATGTAACGGGCTACCCCATTTAATCACCTTACCTTTTAACCATCAAGCACCTGTTGATTGTAAAGAATTGATTGGGACAGGGTGACTACCGTTGGATCACTCTGGAAAAGGGAGCACTTGTTGGTCTAATCCCATTCATTTGCCAATCCAAAGCATGGTATCGAAACTCAAGCGAGTTGCTACTGCAGCAGCACAAAAGGAGGCTGCACGCATGCGTGCGGCCAGAGAGAGTACTTCTCACACCTGAGCAGCAGGTTATTCGTCGCCTGTTGTCATGAGCAGACCACGTGGTGAGTCACCGCGTGCTACAGGTACATCCGCTGCGTCTACAGCGGGTGCTGCGAATCACAATGTAGATGAGTCTGAAATAGAGCTCATATATTCTGGCGAGTCGGATGATGTATCCGACTCGAAGGCGACACCTCACGCCTCCGGATCATTCGGGGCGGACACTGCAAGAGCCAGGTTGACTGGCTCTGGTCAACGCGGCGGTATCGTGTCCGAGATCTTCGGATCGAGTGATTATTCCGACGAATTTTCCGCCTCAAGCAAGTCCATCCAACGATAGGACGCGTGGGGATGGTTGTAATGCACATATACATCACCACGAGCTAAGTATAAGTAACTCCAGGAATCGAGCTGTCACTGGTGTCATGCTCATGTTGACACGAATCAAGAGACCAGGGACCCAAGTCTCCAACGCCCTGCTCCTCGAGTGGAGTCTCCTTGAATGCCGTCATCCAAAACGTTGTACCGGTTGGCCGGTATTGCCACCGAACGTGATCTAATCCTGTTGTTCGACTGTAGGAGAATCTGTCCTCCTAATTCCAGCACGGAAGCTATCCGTGCTGATAAAGAGTTCTTCAAATATGCGTTTTTCAAACATCGGTGGTAAAATGGCAACCTTGGTCGAGACGGTAAGGCTTTGGTGCAAGGATGGAATGCTTTAATACATAACATCGAGTGCATTAGCCGTGAGGACTGGATCGGTAAACTTGATGCAGCTCGCATCAGGTTTGAGAAGCGCAACCCAGTCAAGGTGCGATACAAGTTGCACCGGCTGTCAAGAGAGGCAGGATAACCCTGTCTCTCGTGGGGTGGTTCGTGTCCAGGTTGCCTGGACAGCTCGAATCGTAACCTAGGGAGGCCTACCTCCCTAATGTTCCATACTGGAGGCTGCGCATCACTTCAGGGATGGCCGAAGGCATTGACACCTTGTAATCCCTGTACTCGCTCTTGAGGAAGTCGTTTTCCGACGGTCCTTCTTCGATAGCAGCGGGCGGTCTCGTTATATTGCTCGACGAGACCGGGAAATCATCAATCAGCTGGGCATGAGGGTCCCAGCCGTCCCAGGCCGGTGGAAAGCCACGCCAGCGGACGAGGTAACTCGTTAAGACGCCATTGACGTCGCGTTTTTCAAAAATCACTCCATTTAAAAGCGTTGACCGCCGCCAGAATCCACCAAAGGATGTGGTGGTGGTGGGAACACCTGATCCGACTCGAGGGTCGGATCAACTTGATGTTCAAGAGCTGAACCGTCTAACGGAAAAGTTGCAAGATGACCTGGCTCATGAACGGACTCGGCGTTATGAGCTTCATGATGTTGTAAGGGATAATTACCATTTCTTAGCGCACGATTGCTCAAACGATCGTGCCGCGTTTGCGTTCGCACAACTAAAGAACGAACTTTCGGTTCGTTTTCTTCGTGACACGCTGGCTGTAGCTCGTCAAGACATCGCTGAACTGCGTGAGCAGGTCGCTTCGCTAGTCGACCAGACTGTCTCGTTGAAACGAGACAACTCGAAGGTGGTCTCGGCTCTTGACCGTGGGGGTGTTCTTCGCATCTCGAAAAAGGCTCGCACTGATAGTACGGGCGGATACGACCTACGTAAAACGTAGGATGCGTACGCATCTTACGGGGAAGCTCCATTGTGTATGGGTTGCCCATTCGACGCACACACGAAATGGACCAATATACTAGGGCAGTAATTTACTGCTGCCCACGTTTGTCACTGCGTGTTTCGGTAGATTTGCTGTAGACAGTAAAACTGGGTCTCCTTCATCAAATTAAAGAAGCTTTGCTCTTCCATGTTTGTCTGCGTTTCTTTTCTGTCTGTCTAGTGCATCGGCAATACATTCTTGAAAGAAGCAGACAACCGCTTCGCGAGTCAGCAAAATTCCTCTGCTGATTCATCCTTGTCAACAGCAGTGCACTTCGTGTGCACTGCTGATAGCACATTGTCTTTACCAATGAGGGCGTCATCTTCCTCACTGTGGCAGTCAGTGGCGATGCTAAATATACCAGGATCGTCGTCATCATCTTCATCGTCGTCATCATCCTCATCGATGTCGATTGCATCGACATCGGCATTCATCACGTCGACACCATTGTCGACGGGTGATGAGCAAGAATCAGATCGGGTTTCGTTCGAGCGAGTCCAGACCCCCCTAAACTAGATTCACACTCTAAGAAGGCGAGTAAACATGGATGGCGTAGGCCATTCACGAAGAACGGTGTGCGCGTTGTCGACGCATGCACCGAGCTGTTGATTGCGAATTCTGCCATCGGCAAAAACTCACTCCAGCTCTTAAACGAGTGGACATACCCTCGAAGTATCTCTTCGAGGAGGCGGTTGACGCGTTCCGTTCTACCATCTGTTTCAGGATGGTTAGGTGTTGACTCTATCGACCGTGTTCTTAGTGAACGGAACACGGATTGCCAGAACTCCGCCGTAAAGCAGGATTTCCTATCAGACACGAGTTCACGGGGTAACCCGTGAAGTCGGAAACTAGTTTTGACGAAGACACGAGCTCAGTCCTGGGCTGTGATTGACTCCGGTACAG